GGGTTTATCAGTCTGTGAGTTAGAGTAACGGAGTCAAATCATGAGATGGGCATGATGGGCCAATCAGGCTACAGCTGAAGCCAATTGTAGAAGTGTTGACTCAGTGGTAATATGCCTGAACCGGGGCCAGCAGTTCTAGAGCTGCAGTTATTCCTGATCTGTGATTCCAGTAACTTCAGTTTGCTTTTCACTCCTTGGATATGCACAGGAAATTTACTTCATTCCCGTAGGCAGTTACATTTTCTGAGAGATTCCAGAGGTTTGAGGACTGTTTATAGAGCCAGTGCTGTCTGCAATTGTTCTTGCTGTGTACACAGGCAAAGTAGGTGGTTTTGATTATTTGGCTGATATAACTGTATTGGAGAGATAAAGGATGTATGCTAAATAAACTTGAAACTTAGGTAGAAGCCCAAACTCAAAGCTACTGCAATTTTGACCTCAAAGTATCCAATGTTCTGCAGAACATACTCTTCCCACATTATCAATTTAGTGTTCTGTACAAAGAAATAGTTCTGGTTTCTAACTCATCACTTCATGTCCAGTTCATTTTAAAGATGCTGAGGTTAAGACCATCTGTGGTTTCCAAAGCTTAATCTTCTAGGAAACTGAGTTTCTCCAGAAATCCCTATAGCATGAATACAGTGCAGCTATGTGAAGAGAGGGGGAAAGTCAGCCCAGCAGTGCATGTGCCCACTTCTAACCACTGTGGACACAAAGTAGATGAAGCCTGACACTCCATGGAACTGGTAAATAAATGCACAGTGGAAGAGATTTACGAGCTTTTATGAACTCTTAATTTAGGAATTCCATAGCTCTGCTGGGAAATTTGTTACATCTAGCAGATATTGTTTTAGTCTTTTCTTTTCTTTTCTTTTCTTTTCTTTTTTTTTTTTTTTTTTTTTTTTTTTTTTTTTTTTTTTTTTTTTTTTTTTTTTTTGGTGAGTCTTCTGGCATGAAAATATAGAAATAAGTAAGATCTATGAACCTGCTGTTTTCAGCAGATGTTTAGCTGGGCTCAGATGCTTTCTTCTTCTCCTGAAACAAGTCCGAGCATACAGCAGGTCTCTGAGAAAATGGCTATAGCTGTGAAATAACATTGATGCAATACAAGGGAAGCAACTGGCTAGCAGCCTTTTGTAAGCCTCATTGAATGCTATTGATCAGGTGAAATGGAGAATGGGAGCAGATACACTTACAGTCTAACCATGAGATTTGATTATGCACAACATGGCTACGAGTCTATTCCATACTCCATTAACTTTTCTAACAGGAAGGCTGGAGCCTCATTTAGTCTTTCTGCAAATTCATGCCTGGATGACCCACTGAGATTAGTTTAAAATCTGTTCAAAACTGTATCATGTTTTACATTTGTGCTTTGGGAATGGGAATTAGGACTGCTGAAAAAGGAGCAGTTGAGAAGGCATCTTGGGAAGCCAAGCAAAACACCTGTCTTGCAGCAAATTCATTGTTCTGGCAAAGTAAAGGAAACTTTGATCTATGCTTGGACCAATTCTTGTACCTTTTCACTTGTTGTGAGTCTACTAGATGATGTCAATTATATTCACTGCTGCTCATGGTAAACCTCAATAAAATAGTAGCATTTTAATACCCTTTTGATAGCACTTTAGAAGAAGCAGTTCCTGTCAGATTCATCCAGGGGTGAAATAGGATTCAGTCAACTCACATAGGCTCTGACATTAATTTCAAACAGCACATATTTATGCCTGAAAACTGTCAGTGGGTATTTCAGGTTCTTGACTCTTGCTGGCTTATTGATTGAGTTCTCCCAATGCATGAATTCTGCAAAATTCAAATTAAAAAGGGTAGAGTTCAGATTCCAACAGTTAACCATGGAAAGATCAAACATTTTTTTTCTTATTTTGGCAGCCTTTGCATTTTATCACATTTTAGTGATCTCACTGAGAGTGGGAAGCAGAGATTGTTAAGGAAGGGTTTTGGACAGCTTTACCACCAGTGTTAACTGAAAGGAGATGGTTTCAACTACAGCTCCACTCCTCACAGATGAACTGAGACTTAAATACCATGGAAGGTTTCTAACTCCTTTACCTGTTTGGACACTGTCCTGAAAACAAATCTGACTATACCACTAGTTATCAATTCTTAGTGAATTAGAAAAGCAGTAATACTTGTTCTCCTCATTCACTGATTCTCACTTTACCCAACCCACTGCTTCTTTAGTATGAACATACCCTATCCTTGTCTCTGTTACATCCATAAGAACACACAGCAGAGACTGTGACCCTTCTCTGCAAAGAGGGACACAAAAGTAACCAGCTGTGAGTGTGGTCTTTATTGATTTCCATAAAGAGGACTATTTTTAAACCATCATTGTTCATTTTAAGTCGTCTTAATCATAAAGATAAGAGATATTTTTTAATATCTTGCTAATTAACTACAGGATAGTATTCAAACACCAAAATATCAGTATAAACACTCCACAATTTACAAATATTAGCATATCAACAGGGTATACTTTGACTTCAAGAACTGTAGGGTCATCCTGTAAATCTCATCAAAAGCATTTTAATACAAAAGCTGTAATCACAGAATTACTGGCTTTAAACTACTGAATTCCCTAAGGGAAGTTTAATAGTGCAAAATAGTGTGATCATGTTTGATTTTCTTTATTGCTAACTCTGCATGGAGATCTGAAAAAAACAACAACAACAAAAAACATTATTAATCTAAGCCAGGTAGTGTAGACCTTAAATGAAAATGGAAAACAAGGGGCTTAAAGTGATGTTCACAATGATTGCAGCTTCTGATTTACAGGAAAAAAAACAACACCCTGTGATAGAACGCCCTTTTTCCCTACCGTGTTTTCTGTGTATGCTATGCACTGTTTACATGCTAAAAATAAAGCATCTTTTTAAGATTAGAATTTGATTTATCTCAAGCAAGGCCTGGTGGTGTTTTATTAAAGCAGATAAACATGGGAAATGGGATTTGGTTCTGGTCTTCAAAGACTTACAAATTTTGACTTCTGGTAGCTGAGAAACTTGTTCCACGAGAGTAACTACTGAATACCCTGAAAAAGCTTAATCTTCAGAGAGCTTCATTGATTAGTATGATGTTCTGATTTCAGATTTATTTCTTATTTACCAAAGCAATTGGAAAAATACATGAGTAATTGTTCCTGAAGATTTTTTGCTAATTTTGGAGCAATGGTTGCTCCAAAATATGCAAATGGTTGTTTTGAGTAACATTAGAAAAATGCTGAACTAATGTGTCTGTTCAGAGTTCTGGGCCATGTGAATAAACAGGTTGTATACTCAAGGTTTGATATTACTCATACTGGAAAATTGCAATTGATTTCCTTGAGACTTTTCTAGGTCTCATGAATACATCTGGCCTTGATGCCCTCTGTTCCATTGAACACTATTAAGAAAATAACTTTTGATAATCTGCAGAAATGCTGATGCAACCAGCAAGCTTGTCTGTTTAGTACAAGCAAAAATTCATTTGGAGCAAAGGCAGTGTGGCAATGAATACCTTGCATTTTCATTAGAGCAGCAAACCCAGCAATTCTTGCCAAATGATTATTTTTAATTTTTTTTTTTAATTGAAAATGACTGGGAAGAATAAGGTCTGTCACTAGTCAAGAGCAAGAGTTACAGAAGAACATAAAGTTATCTTTAATAAGTAATGAATGAGTGGATCATCATTACTGTAATAATCCAAATAAGAGTAAGAAAGACACATATTCTAGTAGGAATGACTGTTAAATGAATAGAGACAACTTGTTACTCTGTAAGCAGTTTAACTATTTTGGTCCATGTGGGCCTTGTCATATGAAATCACAACTGACATCTCTGTAGAGTCATTGGAATCAGTTGGTATGGAAGAAGTCAGATGAAAAAGAAAGAAATAGAGTAATTCCTGGCTGTTGCAAGAATTTTTTCATGATTCATATTTTCAGCATGCAAAGCAATCTCAAGCTGCTCCTGCTCATCCCACATCTGTTGTTTTAGAAACATGCTTCCTATATGTAAAATAATCACACACAAGATTGGGGATTTACTGGCAAACGAATTCTTCCCATTATTTGGAAGGTCAGTTTAAAGTTCTCTCACAAGAATCAAAGCAATTACATTAATGTGATATAAGACCTTAGCTCAGGTAGAAGGTAACTCATCAGCTGAAATGCATTAAACTTTAAATGCAACTCTCCCTTGCCAATTCAAAAGGAAAGGGATTAACTTAGAGTACCATGCTTGCTGGTTAGCACAGATGATAACTGCTAGCTGAAAGGTAATGATTTCTATATGTTACTGCTATCCTCTTCTTAAATGCACATAACCTCAATAACATAACATTGTTGGTTTTTTTTTTTTTTTTTTTTGACTGGATGACTTAGGTTGTATAGTATAGTATATTGTATAGTTGAGTAATAAACTAATGAATAACAAAGAGAAAGTGATGCTTTCCAAACAACAATTTAGATGTCTTTGTATTGAAACATTCTGTATTTTGCAAACATTTTGCATGTTAATAGTGACAATCCAGATGATTAAGTATGGAATATCAGTTAGTGATACAATCTGTCCATGTATACTTATGGAAAAATATCACTATTCCCTGAATTTATCAGCTGTCTGTGTTTGTAGATGCGGTAAGCTCTGAGCTCTTAGTTGCATAATGCAGGGTCTCGCCCTCTGCATTCAATTTCAGTCAACCTTTCCTTGAAAGGTTATGGCAAGATTATACTGAGTTCAAAGATAGCTGATGTGAATAACTAAGGCAGTTAAAAACAGTAAGTAAAGAAAGTTCTCCTTCTGTATGCACAATTTTTTTCTAGAACTTTTCCAAAGTCAGAAGTTTGAAAGAAGGGGTAGTGGATAAGGTGGAAGAACATTAGAGAATATATGTATATTCTCTCTCTCTCTCTCTCTATGTATTCTCTAATGTTCTTCCATCTTATCCACTACCCCCTCTTTCTTTTCCCTAAAGCGCTTTTGTAATTGAGCTATTTCGAGATAAATATACTGATGTGTATACAGGTGTACTTTTTTGCTCCTCTTCTCACGAAGTCCTATCGGAGCCGCCCTGCCGGTGACAAGCAGGAGGCGGCTGCTGGCCGCCAGGTGGCGCTGCGGGGCCGGGCAGGGCTGGGCGCGGTGGCTCTCCTCAGCGGCGCCCCCTCTCGGCCACTCCGGGCGCATCCCCCGCGGCGGTCCGGTTCCTGCTCCGTCGCTCCCGAAAGTGCTCTGCTGCACCCGCGCTGCGGAGGACAGCCCCGCCGAGACCTCTCTCCAGCACCCCGGGTCCGGAGGAAGGAAAAGGAAGAGGGATATTTTCTCTCTTTTCATTGTTATTATTTTTTTTCCTTTGATGAACTCAGTGAAGTTCGGACAGCTGACCGTGGTCCTCCCCGCTGCCGGAGGGGGAACCCCTATTAGGGAGGAAAAAAACTCCTAAAAGGTTAACCTAAGAAGAGCTTACACCCACGGCTCCTCAGCCTCTTCGGATCCCAGTAGCCCTCAGCTGCGGGTGCCAATGCCAGTAAGCTCCTCCGAGCGGCAGGAGAAGCTCCGTGCCCTCGTTAGGCAGTGCTGCCGAGGCAGCAGCACAGACTCCGCGCTCTCCGGCGGAGGTCTCGAAGGAGGCAGAAGGAGGATCCGCTAGGATCCAGGTAGATCCAGCTTTTACCGCTTACCAAAAGCCACCACCAGCAGGACCTCCGTCTCCTCCCTCCCTCCTCCCCAACTCCCTCCCTCCCCTGCCCCTCCGCGATGAGAGACGGGCCAAAGTCCGCGAGCGCCAGCAGCGCTCGCTGCCAGGGGCGGACGGATCGCTTTCATGTCACAGGGTGACTGCTAGCCCTGCGGAAGCTCCCCGGGCCGGGCTGGGGCGGCGGGAGGGCAGCTGCCCCGAGCCCGGGGTGACTGCCGGCCCCGCGGAATGCTGTCGGCGGGGGATGCGGAGCGGGCTGTGGACTAACATGGGGGGCAGCCACTCGCACAGGGCGCCCGTGTTCGACGAGAACGAGGACGGTGAGTGTGGAGCTGTCCGAGGTACCGCCGCGCCCGCGCGCCCCGCAGTTCCAGCCGTTGGCTCAGCCCCGGGGCCGGAGGCGGCAGCTCGCCCTCAGCCAGGTGTTGGCAGCTTCCTCGGTCCGGCTGGGGGAGGTATTTTGGATAGATCTTCCAGTCGGCTACTTGCTGTGGGGTAGGGAAGGAGGAGGGCAAGCCCACCTTTGTTTAGCTGTTTGCAATAATTACGTAGTTCTTTGCTTTTATCCAAGCTAAGCTGAAACCTGAACACCACTGCTTGGATTTTAAACACATGGCCAGGTAACTTCATGTGTACGTATGTGAAACTGGCATTAGTTTGGAAATGAATGCCTGCCTTTTCTCTTTTTGTTTATTGTTGACTCTGCCCACCAGTCCATTTTAAATGGCGGTACATCTTTCAGTCAGTATACTTTTCTCCACCTACACTTTCTGAAACTTTCTGAAAGTTGTTCTATTACTTTGAGATTTTTTTTTTCCCCTGCCTCAATATATATCAGAAGAAAGCGTATCCAGAAGAGATCTGAAGTTTGCATTAAAAATGTGGTGTTTTTTCACTTTTTATGTATTTCCATGTAACTTTCTTACATAGATTCTGTTTTACTGAGATCATATGGCTCTCAATTTCAGTCATTTTGACTTTTAAAGCAAAGAGGACACTCCACTTTTAAGAAGCAGACATAGACATTTGTATATCAAAGTGTCGTTACTTATGGGAACATATTGCTGCATAACTGGATAATAGATACTTCATTTTGAATATATCCATTTCATTCTAGTTCCCAAAATATTTTATTGAGAAATACTTGTCCCTCAGCAGACTTCACTTTGCCTTTTTGATAACATTTCTCATAACAAATCAGAAACATTTATGCTCTTTCCTCTCCATTCAGGACAGATGGAGACACTTGCATTGTTTTGCTAATATAAAGGAAAAATATTAAATAAGTTTATTCAGAGGCGAATAAATATTTGCTTACACTTCAAGCATATTTACCACTCTCTCTTTCTTGGCAAAGCTTGAAGAGGTATTTGGTGTGGTTTTGTTTACAGCAGTTTATTATTTGTATGGAGTAAGGGACTAGGGTATCTACTATAGGTAGACTGTGATGCAGTAGCTGTGATTTTCTTGTCATTTACAGTTGTCAGTCATTTGCAATAAGTAAACGCTATGTAAACAAGTGAGAAAAACCATTCCTCGCTGTAAAATTATAATGGAGAATGACATTAAGATTTACATGACTAATTGTAAATGATTACCAAGAGTGAAAATATAGTGTTAATCTTGTTTAGACACTGTAAGGTGAAAAATAGCCCTGCCTTTGCCTCTGTGAGTGTTTTGACTGAGCTCTCTTGAGTTAACATGAGTGTTCTATGATTTATTACCATTTCTATTTTTTTCCAACAAGAAAAGGCTGTGGTCAGTTTATGGATAAAATGAACAAAGTTCAAGAATGAATGAGACCAGAAAGGGCTTCATGCCACTTTGCTCTTTTTATCCTCAGGAAAACAATTAAAAAAATACAAAAAACTAAACATCAGTAACAACAAAAACATGTACACATAAGCTATTTATGCATTTCTACTAAGACATTGTTATTCTTTGCTTATTTTTTCCCCCATTCTGAATGTTCCTAAAATATCTATTTTTTTTTTTTTTTTTTTCCTCTTAAGATGTTATGCTTAGTACAACCATATAGTTGAGAAAAGCCCATTGCTTTTGAAATAGATAACCTATTTTCTATGGTGTTTATGAATTATGATTCAGGATGGAATTTTCCCAAGTACCTAAAAATATAGGAAGATATCTTCTCTTTGAAAATCTATCTTGCAAAATGTAGTCCAAAAATCAAGGAGTATTTCATGTTGTTCCTAAAATTTACAATAGTAACTGCCTTCCACAATACTGGATGCAATATGAAATTAAAATTTTTAAAAAAGGAAAAAAAAAAAAAAAAAAAACCAAAACCAATAAAGACACCCCCAACACAGTATTACAAAGCTCATTTATTTGATGAGACTGTATAACTTTGTTCAAGAGTAAGAATATTTACCAATTCATATAGACCCAGTATAAATGAGTTGTGTGTGAATATGTAGGCATAATAAAAAACAAGTTATTTAAAGAGTTGTTTGTAATGTCACAGATGTCTCCTTTGTATGAGAAAAATGAGCAGAAAAACATATTGTCATTTTATGTTCATGCATTTCAATGCTGAATAAATGGAATGTAGAATAAATCATGAATTTGGGAAGATGTTTAAAATAATTCTTTGGCATTTCATGAGCCATAGAAAAAGTTTCATTTGCAGTGTATCATTTAGCAAAGAAGTACTCGGAAAGAGTGGATGAAGAGCAGCCCGATACAGCCTGACAAACCTGTTGAGTATCGGCTCTAGGGTTACCAGTCATGTTTTCTTTCTGATGAGGATGTGTGTCAATCCATTCAGTAGATCTGAAACTTAAACAGTGCAGTAGACTTACCACTCTAAGGATGGATATCACTGATGGGATAATCAAAACTAATCCAGCCAGAAGGCAAGCTGGAAGTGTTGTTCAGTGTTCAGATATCACAGACTCCTTCTCTCCCATCATTATCAAATGCTGATCTTTTCAAAAGTTGTAATGTAAACCGTTTTTAAACTAGTTATATTTGTTCACTATGTCCTATTTTTGTTAGAAGGATCTTGCAGAACCTTACTCTTTTAATGGGTAGAAGCATCTGCCTTCTTGATTAAAAGCATGCTTGACCTATATATAAAATTTATCTTTATTCCAACGTTTTTGCTAGCTTAAGTAGCTCTTCTTCTTCCATGATGATTACTCCAGTGCACTGATAGATACTAGCAAAAATGTTCCCTCTCACTCTTTGTTCTGTAAGAAAACTTCTACTTTTCTTATTTCTCCTGCATTTTCATTCACAGTGTTCCTTATCTATATGTATTTAAACTCATCTTGATCACGTGCATCTAATTCAAAACCGCACAATTACAGGTAAGTTTTCACTAGAACCTTTTACTGGAAACGACATTTCCTGGTCTCTACTGGAACTAACTTTTCCAGTATAGCCTGTAACTACCTATGCCCTTTTCACGTGTATATCATACAGACAGTACACAGACATCTTGTGATGAACTGGCTCACTAATACCCTTTTCAGGAATTCCCACTGATGAGTTTCAATCTACAGCAGGAATTCTAAGTGCTCTCAAATGTGACTTCATTTTGCACTGAAAAAGATGGAATTTCAAGCCATTTCTCATATTCAGGTCCCCCCTGAATCTAGCCCTAATTTATTTCCCTGTGATTCTCTGAGCCTCCATTATTTTAACATTATTTTTCGTGTATTATTACTACCCTCCCTAGCTCAATGGCAGTTTTCAAGTCCACTGAATAGATTGTGAATATACTAAATTGTCTCATTTCCATACCTCATTCTCTTTGCTGTTATCCCTCTTTAGCCTGATAATTTCCATTTCGAAATAACACTGTTGTCTTTAGTACCTCTTTGCATTTTGCCAGGTAATGCTCAACTTTCTCAGCTTTATGAATTCTTTCTTATATGTTGCTCCACTGAAATCCAGAAAAATGAAATTATGACAAGTGTACTGCATAAAAAAATAAATTTATCTTCACGAAAAAGCATCTAGTTATCTCTTGCACATCAGTGTTCGGTAAAGTCATGTGGATTTGATCTCAGTTTTTCTTCTTAGCCTAGATTAAAGCACAACAAGAGCTAGGAAAATCCTATGAATGGAATCCTTTGTCTAATACTTACACAGCTTATACTCTTGCTATGGAAGGTCAATGGGAAAATATATTTCATTTTTTTATTTTTATTGCTGCGTTTTTTGGATAGACAACTAGGTCTGGTGTAGCAACGTTGCTACCTCTACACAAAGCTATATGTTTTAATGGATTGGAATTATAAGATTTTTTACAAAAGGTTTCATTTGGATTAATGCTGCCGAAGCAAGGGAACTTTGACTCTCTTTGTCCTTAATATTTTCTCGTAAAGAATACAGAGCATCTATCCTCTCCTGAATAGCTGTTTCCAGTAATAATATAGAAAAGGTAAAGATGAATATCTTTCCTGAGTTTTAGGTCTTGGAAAATAATTGTAAGTTCACAGAAATGGCAATAGAACAGTGAGAGGAATATTAACAATTTGTAAATGTAACTTTCAAATTTCAGTAAATATTATAAGTAATGAATGTATTATCAATAGCCTGGCAACTTTAAGGAATATATTTCATGATAATTTTATTTAACGATGCTCTGTTAAAACTGATATTTAATTAAATTCTTAAAAATAATATTCAACATGTGAAAATCAGATGGTAGAAAATAACCATTTTCTACTAGCAAATAGTAATAACAGTTATTTACCTATATGGTTGTGGAAGATACACAGGAAAGGATAAGGAATAAAAGCATTAGAAGCTAGAAACTGGACCGTTGAATTGATGTTTCAGTTGTATTTGGTTTTGAAAAAAAAAAAAAAATCAGTTTTTCTATGGTGGCTTGTAGAAATAAGTGAACTGATTTCTTAAGAGTTTGCTTTTATATTTGTAAAACAACTTTACTTTTCAGTTATTTCCACCAGTTCTTAAATATTATTGATGAGCTTTCAGTACAGCATAGTATGAGACAGATGGAAATTGTGGTCAGAGAGGAGAGAATGTCATATTAGGCAGTCACATAGATACTAACTGCCAAAGTGTTGTCAGGAGTTTGCAAAGACTGTGGCAAAGAGGGAGAGCAGATATGGTATGGCAACAATCCTCAGTCGTTATCTTCCTGACCCAGTCTTTTAAAGTCTTTGTTACAATGTGCACTAATAATGTGGCCCTCTTCAGATACTAAATAATAATTACTGGTAAAAGCTAAGATTAGATCATGGGTTTTCCTTTTCCACAGGGAACACTGAAGAAAGGCTAAATGAATATGGCACCTTCATTTTTAGATTCTTGCTCTTCATTC